ACTCTCCCTCTCTGACCTCCATAGCTGGTACCCACTATCTCCAACAGCGTTACACCAGTTGGCCGAGGAAACAAAAGGCTCCAGATAACACAACACTGGCAGGCGTGTGACAGGCATTAGAGGGCCTGGGTTCTAACCAGACTCAAACTTGCTGTGTTAGCGGATTACATCACCTTTCAGAATCTTAGCTTCCTTATCCAAAATGGAGCTGATATCTGCCTAGCCCACCTCCCAGTGTTCCTATAGTAACCACTTGGCATTGAGCTTTACATACAGTCTCTCCTTTCCTCTTCCCACAATCATCTTAGGGGGGAGGCAGCATCTCCACAGATGAGAAGACTGGGTAACTCCCTCAAGGTCACAGAGCTGGTGGTCAGAATTGGAACTGCAACTCAGGTCAGCTGCGTCCCAAACCAGGGTTTTGTGTTTCACACCATAATATCCCCATGAGGCTGTGAGGACTTTGAGAATAGGGACTATAGTCTTATGTTCCCCAGTACCCCTTATTGTCCAAGCTTCTCAGACTGCAATGTGTGTGAGAAGCAAGGCCCAATGGCATTCAGCCTAATGCTGGCCCAGAAGTAACCCTCCCCACCCTTGTTTGGGGAGAAGCCTGTCTGAGGAGCCCAGAAAAAGGAAAGGCATTGTCTTGGACCCTGCAGGAAACAGGAACTCAAATCCCTGCCAGGTCCCTTGCAAACCACCTGTGTGACTTGTTTCTGTTAATGGACAGCCACCTCCACCATATGGAGAGAGGAAAGGCAGGGAGCCAGGGTGGGAGAAGGGAAGGCAAGAGGCTCCCCACCTCAGCAAAATGATAGTGGGGTGCACAGCTCTCCTCACAAAGCATTTCAGCTTGCCTGATAGACAGGGCAGATTCTGTTGTTGTCATTTTTTTTTTTTTTTTTTTTTTTTGGGGTACGGGGGCCTCTCACTTTTTTGGCCTCTCCCGTTACGGAGCACAGGCTCCGGACGCGCAGGCTCAGCGGCCATGGCTCACGGGCCCAGCCGCTCCGCGGCATGTGGGATCTTCCCGGACCGGGGCACGAACCCATGTCCCCTGCATCGGCAGGCGGACTCTCAACCACTGCACCACCAGGGAAGCCCCTGTTGTTGCCATTTTACAGAGGCCCAAGAAGGTTCAGTGAGTGCCCAAGGCTATAGCTTGGCTGATTAGTGTTTGAGCTGAGACTGAACCCAGGTTCCTCTGAACCTGGCCCAGTGCTCTTTGCGGCATGCATGCTACCTGTGGGTGGCAGAGAAGGTCTCCTGGACTCCCTCACAACACTCAGCCCTAGGACCCAGCCCAGGGTCGGCTGGGCTGCCTCTCTAGCCCACCTCCTCCATTCTCACTTCCACGGACCCCATGGGATTATTTCTGCTGCCATGATGTTAGCAACACCTCCTGATTTAGCTTCCCTGCACTTGTGATCGAGGTAGCTGTGCAAATGAGCACATGCAGGCCCTAGAACCTGAGAGAAAGCAGGCAGGGCCTAAAGGAAACCAGAGGGCAGGTCAGGCCAGGCCTGTGCCCACTAGCAGCCTCTGTCCCAGAAATCTCAGCCCTCTTAGCTCGGCCTGTGCCAATTTCTCTTAACTGCAAAATCTTGTGTTCTGCCTCCATCTTAGCCTAGAAGCTCTCTGAGGACAGGGGCTGTGGTTCCCCACAGTCTGGAAATCCCTGAGGAGAGTGGCTGGGTTAGTGGGTATATCACAAGCAGCATTCACTTTGGTATCTGGTAAGCTGGTACAAACCCCAGTTTTGCTAATTACTAGCTGGATAACTATTTTCCAGTTCCTTTACCTCCCTGGTTCTCTTATTTCTTTATTTGTAAAAATGGTGTTGATGCCAGCCTTGCAAGGCTAAATAAAATTAAATATGCTACCAAAGAAGGCACTCATCACTGTTCCTGACATGGAGGGGACACTCAGCATGCAGGTACTCCCTCTGCCCCAAGACCACATGTCTCCTTCCTCAGGATCCTCTCCTGTCAGGCAGCCCCTGGACTCATGGAGGAGCTTGAAGCAGAGGGGGACTGTACCCAGAACAGTGACAGAGCACACCTCACCTGTGTATACGGCTCTATGCACCTCCAAGCCGTGCCACGGCCACCTCCCCAGGTGGAGCTCACCAACATTAGGCCATGGCATGCATGTAAAGGAACCTCTCAAGCCACAGTTGAGGGTGGCTGTATTAACTGTCTGCCCCAACCGCGACAGAGACAGAGAGACACACGTGTGCATGCCGCTACCCATCCATCGTCTTCCCTCCCATGAAACGGCAGGAAAGGGGAAGAACAAGCCCCTGTGATACTGGAGAGAGATGGTGGGCTTACATTATTTTCACGTGTAATCCCCTCAACAATCCAGTGAGGAAGATGCCATTATTTCCATTTTACACGTGTAAAACTGAGGCTCAGAGAGTTTGGGCAAGATCATAGAACAAGTAAGTAGCAGAGTCAGGACTGGGAGACCAACATTGCCAGCCTGACGCCTAAGGCACTCAGAGCTCTGTGCCTCTCAGCGTCCCTTCTTTCCTGAGACTCAGCACACACACTGCGTGCTGGATCCTTGCAGCAGCCCTGAGAAGTCAGGAAGGGACTGTGCGTCCCCTTTGCTGAGGAACATGCAGCGCCGGGGAAGTGAGGTGGCTTGTCCAAATGGGTACAGCGGCAGACAGTTCCAGCCTCTGAGTTCCGGCTCCGGGTCTCTCTCTGTACTGGGTGAATTCGGGGATCAGGTCTCCCTGGTTTGGGAGGGGGTTCCCCTGTTCTTGATTCTCCTCCCAAGTGTTTCCCTTGAACATTTTTTTCTTTAAACCTTGACAGTAGACCGAGCTCAGACTCAGGCCATGTTCTGACAGGAAGACTGCGGCCTAGAGAATGGCCCCTCCTTGCCTGCGTGGACTTCAGCGGTGGGAGGTGACAACCGCTCCTGTGCAGACCCCTTGAGGTCCTGGAGCTGCCCATCATGGAGGAGTTAAAGCCCAGCTGTAGCCTGCACATCCAGTCGCTGTGAGTTCCCTCCCCACCAGGCCCAAGGCGCCCGCCCACCTCGTGTGGTCAGGGAGCTGCTGGTGTGGAGCCTCCACTCCACTGAGTGCTGGAGATGCAGCACCGTCTCCCAGCAGCCAGGAGAGCTGTCTACAGCTCGAGCAGGTGGTAGACAGTGTGGCACGACACCCGAGGGGGAAGAGGGAAGAGGTTTTCTCTTTAAACGTCAGCTCCAAAGACAAACTCAGTCCCTCTGCCAGGCGTGCGGCAGCACCCACTTCCTGATCCTTCTTACTTCCCGGTGACAGTTGTGTCTGTCTCTCGGGTCTCTGCTCCACTCATGTACCCACAGCCCGGCAGCCAACATTAGCTCCTTCTGCCACCTCCATGCCAGGCCAGCTCTTGGGCGGTACTCTGCAGGCCAGAGGACAGCTTGGGGTGGGGGTTTGGGAGCCTCCCCACACACACCCAGAACCGACTCATCCCTGAACAATGCAGCCATTTTCCTCTTCTGAGAGCACTCCTTTATAGACAATTCTCTGCAGTAGGGATAAGGAATTGTGCCCATTCTATAGGTGTGGAAACTGAGACCCAAGGAAGTAAGTGATTTACCCAAAATCACCGAGCAGTAAGGTTGGAGTCAAGGCTCAAATGCAGGTCTTTTCATTCATCCATTCAATTGTTCATTCAACAATTCCAGTTACACTTACATGTTGTGTGACTAATAATAAGTTGTTTAACCTCTCTGAGCCTCAGCTTCCTCAGAAAATGTGGAAAATAGGAATATATTATTACTATTAGAAAACACTATTAGTGCCTCTTCATAAAATTGTGCAAAGATTTAAATAAGAGAATCCACATAAAGTATTTCGCAAAGACCTAGCAAACGTTAGGTGTTCGAGAGTCACTTGCTACTATTACCGTTCACTTATTGGTCAGGCATCAGATACCAAAAATGGGCAGAAACCACGCTGGGCACTGTGAAGGAGAGTTGAATAGGCTTGGACCCCACCCTCAAGTTGCTCACAGGCCAGTGAAGGAGGTTACCTCGGTGCAATCTGACAAGGGCTGTGTTACAGGGGAGCATGGGGAGCTGTAAACACACCAAAACAAGGAAGGTTTCTGGGAGGAGGTGTCATCTGAGTTGACTATTAACGAATGAGTAGGAATTAGGAAAGAAAAGGGAACAGATTTCTGAGCGGTGTGTGTGTGTGTGTGTGTGTGTATGTGTGTGTGTGTGTGTTTTAGACATGGTCTTAGATGTTAAACATCCTTCTTTCATCTTTCTCCTCAACTCCAAGGCCTGGACAGGTTAAGATATAACTGGCTAGGAGGCAGGGAAGGTGAGTTTTGAGCACAGGTAAAAGGTGGGGTGGGGTTGAGCATCCTAGGCTGGGGGAGTAACCTTGGCCCTGTGTGCTTCTGTGTGGGCCAGGCTTGCTCAGGCCTCCTGCCGCGTGGCAGCTGGTAAATTGTCAGTCTTGCCCAAGAGACTGTGGGTCTGTGCCATTGAGGGCAGGACTTGTGTTGTCAGAACACATTTCTTAACTTGAACGTATAAACTGTGTTCCTACGTCAAGGAAGATTAATGGTGGGGGTAGGGCATGAGGATTGGGTGGGGCACAAACAGGAAAGAGATTAGCCTTGTTGGGACTCTTCCCAACAAGGCCTTGAATGAGGGACTGGGATGGGCGGGGGCAGGGGTGAGCAAGCAGAATTGAATGAAAGGTCTGAAAACCCAGGATATAATTTTTTGACCTTTAAAAATAAAAAGCTATAGCTCCCTACACACACACACACACACACACACACACACACACACACACACAAAGAGCCTGAAGCCACCGTGGCCTCCTGTCATGATTACAGGTGATGACGGCAGAGGGAAGGTGTCATGCCTTCACACCCCTCTCTGGCTTGCTGGCTGCTCCCAGACTGTCAGCCGCTGAGCCTGACAGAGCCGCTGAGTGGTTTCTGCGTCTCTCCCCTGCCCTTGCTGGGCCATCTGAGGACGGCAGCCCCAGGAGCCCATAATGTGGGGTACGGGGTGCTGTATTTACTCTGCAGAGGGTGGGCCACCATGGCAGGTGTGTCTGCTGAGCACAGCAAGTCCCCAAACACACCTCACGTCTTCCTCCCCAGAGAGGATTTACGGAGCTGCCAGCCCGCAGCGGAGCCCTTGCTTCGGCTCCCTCAGAGGCCAACCGTCCAGGAAGGGCTGGACAAGGCCTTGGGAAGACAAGCAGAGCTCAGGAGGGACTATTCACACCCTTTCCTCATAGAAACAGGAGCACGGGGACCAACAGGAGCTGAGCTGGGGGTCAGGAGGCCAGAATACTCCCACCTAACTTGCCAGGTAAGCTTGAGCGAGACCCTTTACTCCTCTCATCTCCTGGGGACGTTTTAATGAAATAACCCTTCACTCTCCAGTACCTGCGTTTGCCCTCTGTGGGTGAATGTAAAATTTCCAACTAACTTCTTCTCTACCCGGCTACTCAGTCTGCCCCACTAAGGCTTCCTTCCCCCCACAGACACTGATTCAGCCACCTACTGAGTGCCAGCCAGGCATGTGTTGTTAGGTACTGAAATACAATGAGCGAGGCAGATGGAGAGAACCACACCCTTCTCTCACAGAGTACGCAACTCATCTCGATGAGGACTTGTCCCAGTGGAACTACAGTGGCCACACAGCAAGTGGTATGTGAGAACCAAGTTTGGATTATTTGACGATAGTAACAGTCCCCATTTACTGAGTGCCTACTATGTGCCAGGCTCTTAATGTATCTCATCCCTAAGCCTCATTACAACCTTTAGAGGAAGTATTAAGAAGCCTGTTTTGCAGAAGAGGAAATGGAGGCTCAGAAAGGTTAGGTAACTACTCCAAGATGACACAGTTCCAAGTACCTGAACTTACTGTCTGGAGAGACCGCCCTTACCCTTCATTCGACTCGCGTACCTCCATAAAGCAGGGGGAGAGAGATGTGTCTCTGAAAAGGTGATCGTTAAAAATATCTGGGGTAAAATAAGTCATGGGAATGTAATATACAGCATAGGGAATATAGTCAATAATAGTGTAATAACTTTGTATGGTGACAGACAATAACTAGACTTATCCTGGTGATTATTTTGTAATGTATAAAAATATGAAATCACTATGTTGTACAACTGAAACTAATATTGTAAGTCAATTATACTTCAATAAAAAAATGAAACAAAAAATCTGGGGTAGAGGGGCTTTTTTTCAACAGACCTTTCCCTCTGGTGCCCCCAAGAGAATCACTGCCTGGGACATTGCATTCTAGCTGGGTGGGTGTGCATCAGAGCTCTTGGTTCCGTTGGGCTAGAAAAAAAGGGCTAAGAAGTCGCTCTTGCTCTGCTGTAGTCTCGGCCCCTGCTCTCCCAGGGGTGGGAAGCAGAGAATTGGAAGCCTGTGGACTCTGAGAGCAGGCTGCATGGTGAGAGCTGCAAGGTCTGGCCCTCAGGTTCTGCACCAACCTCACCAACTGCACTGCGAAGCTTTCTCTGCTACACAAGGCAAAAGATAGTTTCTGCACAGAAGAGCTGACAGTGCTCCACCAAACAGTCCAGAGCGACAGAGACCCTGTCCCCGTGTGCCCTATGCTAGCCTTGGGGCTCCCCCGGCCCTCCTGCTTTGCCCATCAGGGCTAGGCTGGAGCCGATACTTGATAACTGCCTGCTTATTGGTTGACCATCTTCTCTGCTGCATTAGCTGAAACTGGGCCACCCAGTGCCCAATATAGCAGCTGTGAGAGGACCCTGCTGAGGAACTGGGGAGGAACGACCACTGTGCAGGGGATTAACACAATCCCCAGTGCCAGGCCACTAGTGGGTTCCAGCGATGAGGGTGGGAAATGAGGCTGTGAAGGCACAGAGCATCCAGGGAGAGTGACCACCTGACTGAGGATGGGTAGAGAATTGGGGGGCCTTAGCTATCACAGAAGCTACTGTGTCTCATTCTGAATAAAGCCTGGCAAGAAGGACGAACCCCCAACTCTGCTGTCTCCTTCTGGAAGCTTTAGGGAGCCCAAAGCCACATGTCCTTATTGCTGTGGTTTCAGCCTAAGGAAGCCAAAAGCCTGCTGAGAAGTGAGGTGGGAACAGTAGATGGGGCAGCTGGAGGCACCCAGGAAACTTGCTGGATATTTGAAGGACTCCTTCTTTGGTGCTGCATGAGGCAAAAGGGGGCCCATCTGTTGGACCACATGAAGGGACAGAAGCTGGGGAACGAGCAAGAGAGAGACCACTAGTGGACCCACCATTATATCACTACCACTTGAGTACCTACTAGGATCTGAATCTTCTCCCCATCCCTCCCTTCCCCACCCTTCCCTATCTCCAGAAATGGCACCGCATCCACCCTGTGGCATCAGCCTTAATCCTGGGGAGTCATACTTGATCCTTCTCCTACTCTGTACATCCAGTCCATCACCAGTTGGTTCTAACTCTAACATGGAATAAAACCTATTTGGTTGTGATATATTATCCTTTTTATGTGTCACTGGATTTGATTTGCTAATATTTGGTTAAGGACTTGACATTTTAAAAATGTAATCTGGATAATGTCATTCCCTGCTTAAAGCACTCAAAGGCTTCAATGTGTACCTAGAATCCTATCCAAACTCTTGACCATGAACCACATGGCCTATAAGGCCCTACCTTAGTCCTTGAGCCCTGTGAGGGCTAGACTGACACAGGGTTTAGAGAAGCCAACAAGGGCCAGGCACAGTCAATTCCAGGATGGCTTCCTTCCTCAAATACTTCTCAAGTTGTAATTGTAGCTACCTCCTTGTTTATCTGTGTCTTGGCTCTCTCCCAGCTAGTCTCTAAATTTCATGAGGGCAGGGACCAGGACCGACTTCTTGGCCATGATAAGATACCTAATGTCTGGCATGGAGTCTGGTGCTTCTGAATTAGTGAAGGAGTGAACTTGCTGCCTCCTCCATGCCTGGGCCTGTGCATCTGAACACTCAAATTTATCACCACGAACTTCAGGTGGGCCCTTAACGCTGCCTCCAACTATACTAGACTTTCTGAGTCTAGCCTTTCTCCTACTTCCTAAAGAATTATTTCACACTTGCTACTCTCTCCATCACCTCCTCCCTCTCAGCTGATGACCTCGCTTCCCACTTCACTAAGAAAACCGAAACACTCCGAAGAGAACGTCACCTACCAGCACCCACATACTCTGCCTTTCTGCCTCTTGGATGATCTCCAGGCTCCTCTAAAGCCAATCCCTCTGTGTTTGCCCTAAGTCCCAGCCCTGCTTGCCTAAACAAGGACATCAATCCAGAAATTCTATCCTTTGCCCTATCATTAGTTTTGCACTCTCTACTAGATGGTCTTAGTCAGTACACAGACATACTAATGTCCCTTCTTCGCAAACAGCAAAGCAAAATGCCTTGTTTCCACTTCTCCTGACAGCTCTTGCCCCATGCCTTTACGCTCTGCAACAAAATACCTCAAAAAAGTAATCTACGCCAGCTGTTTTCAATTCCATTCCTCTTCTCTCCTGAGCCCTCTCCAAGTAGACTTTCTGCTCCTACCACTATTAACATTGCTCTTGCTAAATCCAATGGTAATTCTCAGTCCTCACCTCACTTGACCCATTCGCAGCCCTTGACAGCCAATCTCTTGCTCCTCCTTCATATACTCTCTACTTGGCTTCTAGGACACCACACCTGGGGCTCTGGGTTTCTTCCTATATCTGTAGCTCTCCTTAAGTCCCTTTTGCTGGTGCTTCATCGTCTCCCCAGACTCTCAATGCTCAGTCCTTGGTCCTCTCCTCTGCTTTCTTAAACTTTAAAAAAAAATTTTGTACAATTTTGAAAAGTTACTTTCCATTTACAGTTATTACAAAATATTGGCTATATTCCCCACGTTGTACAATACACCTTTAAGCCTATGTTACACCCACTCCCCTACTCCTATATTGCCCCCACCCCTCCCACCCCCCGCACTGGTAACCACTGGTTTGTTCTCTATATCTGTGAGTCTGCTTCTTTTTTGTTACATTCACTAGTTTGTTGTGTTTTTTAGATTCTACATATAAGTGATACCATACAGTATTTGTATTTCTCTGACTTATTTCACTCAGCATAACACCTTCCAAATCCATCTATGTTGCTGCAAATGGCAAAATTTTGTTCTTTTTTATGGCTGAGTAGTATTCCATTGTATATATATACCACATCTTCTTTATTCATTCATCTGTTGATGGACACTTAGGTTGTTTCCGTATCTTGGCAATTGTAAATAATGCTGCTATGAACATTGGAGCGCATGTATCTTTTCGAATTAGTGTGTTCATTTTCTTCAGATATATACCCAACAGTGGAATTGCAGGATCATATGGTAGTTCTATTTTTAGTTTTTTGAGAAACCTCCACACTGTTTTCCACGGTGGCTACATCAATTTACCTTCCCACCAACAGTGTAGGAGGGTTCCCTTTTCTTCACATCCTTTCTAACATTTGTTATGTGTGTTCTTTCTGTTGACAGCCATTCTGACAGGGTGAGTTGATATCTCATTGTGGTTTTGATTTGTATTTCCCTGATGATTATCTTTTTATGTGTCTTTTGGCCATCTGCATTTCCTCTTTGGAAAAATGTCTATTCAGTTATTCTGCCCACTTTCTAATCAGGGTTTTTTTTTTTATGTTGACTTGTGTGAGCTGTTTACATACGTTGGCTCTTAATCCCTTATTGGTCATATCATTTGCAAATATTTTCTCCCATTCAGTAGGTTGTCTTTTTGTTTTGTTGATGGTTTCCTTTGCTATGCAAAAGATTTTAAGTTTAATTAGGTCCCACTGGTTTATTTTTGTTTTCATTTCCATTACTCTAGGAGATGGATCCAAAAAAATATTGCTGCAATTTATGTCAAAGAGTGTTCTGCCTATGTTTTCCCTCTAGGAGTTTTATAATATCCGGTCTTACATTTACATTTTTAATCCATTTTGACTTTATTTTTGTATATGGTGTTAGAGAATGTTGTAATTTCATTCTTTTACATGTACAGGTCCAGCTTTCCCAGCACCACTTATTGAAGAGACTGTCTTTTCTCCATTGTATATTCTTGCCTACTTTGTCGTAGATTAATTGACCATAAGTGCATGGGTTTATTTCTGGGCTCTCTATCCTGTTCCATTGATCTATGTGACTGTTTTTGTGCCAGTACCGTACTCTTTTGATTACTGTAGCTCTGTAGTACAGACTGAAGTCAAGGAGTGTGATTCCTCCAGCTCTGTTCTTCTTTCTCAAGATTGTTTTGGCTATTCTGGGTCTTTTGTGTTTCCATACAAATTTTAAAATTATTTGGGGGCTTCCCTGGTGGCGCAGTGGTTGAGAGTCCGCCTGCTGATGCAGGGAACACGGGTTCGTGCCCCGGTCTGGGAAGATCCCACATGCCGTGGAGAGGCTGGGCCCATGAGCCATGGCCGCTGAGCCTGCGTGTCCGGAGCCTGGCTCCGCAATGGGAGAGGCCACAACAGTGAGAGGCCCGCATACCGCAAAAAAAAAGAAAAAAAAAATTATTTGACCTAGTTCTGTGAAAAGTGCCATCATTATTTTGACAGGGATTGCACTGAATCTGTAGATTGCCTTGGGTAGTATGGTCATTTAAACAATATTGATTCTTCCAATCCAAGAACATAGTAT